GCTCGTGGGATTGCTGATCGGTCTCGGGATGAGATAGCTGCTCTTCAGACCCTTGTTGATGCCCACCATCGGGAGCACAAGGCTCTCTGCGAGATGCTTGAGCGCAAGGGCGTTCTTCATCGGAAGAAGCAGCACACTGATGGTACGGCTTAAGCCGAACAACGTAAAAACGTGGGATGCGTTCGCATCTTACGTGGTAACTCGATCGTGTATGCATTGCCTAGGCGGTGCAATACACGAAATGGGCAATGTACTTGGGTAGTAGTTTACTGCTACCCAAGTTAGTCACTACATGCTTTGGTAGATTAACCGTAGACAGTAGGACTAAGTCACATTTATTAAATAAAAGAGTGTTTGCCCTTCCATTCTTATCAGCGTTTTGCTTTTGCTTATCCACCGCTTCGGCGATGGAGTCTTGCACAAAACGGACTACCGTTTCACGAGCCAGTACGAACTCATCTGATGACTCGTTAGCTTCAGTGCACTGTGAGCGCACTGCAGCAACATCAACCTTTTCTTCAGTGAGGGCTTCCGCACTCTCACTGGCATCATATTCTTCTTCGATATCGATGTTATCGATATCGGCATCAAACGCAATGACTTCTTCGTCAGAGCGTGATGAGCGTGAACCAAATCGGTTTTTGCTCGCGCGAGTCCCTACCCCCCTTAAACCAGAGTTACACTCTAGTAAGGTGGGTACACGCGGATGGCGCAAGCCATTCACGTAAAACGGTGTATGGGTCGTGGACGCATGCACCGAGTTGTTAATGGCAAACTCTACCATTGGCAAAAACTCACTCCAACTCTGAAAGGAGTGTACGTATCCTCGAAGTATCTCTTCAAGGACACGATTGGCACGTTCCGTCTGACCATCTGACTCTGGATGATCAGATGTTGACATCTTCAAGCGCGTTCCGAGTGATTTGAACACGGAACGCCAGAAATCAGCAGTGAATCGTGGATCTCTGTCTGATACGAGTTCACGGGGCAACCCATGAAGTCGGAAGATGGTGTCAATAAAGACACAAGCACAGCCACTTGCCGTGATTGTCTCTGGTACAGCCACAAGGTGTACCATTTTGCTGAATCTGTCAACAAATACGAGAATACCCGTATTCCCGCGTGCGTCTTTGGGTAACCCGAAGACGAAATCCATTGAAATGGATTCCCAGCACTCAGCCGGAACCGGTAGAGGCTGTAATGGTGCACGCAGTGAAGGACTTGACTTCACTCGTTGGCAGACTTCGCATGCGCGAACATACTTTCGCACAAACTGATACTGGCGGGGCCAGTAAAAGTCTCGACTCACCGTGAGATATGTTTTCTCACGGCCACGATGTCCTCCTATAGGAGCATCGTGATACTCGAACATGATCCGCAAACGCAGATCAGTATCATCTGGAATGACAACACGTGGTGTGTCACCAGAAACGGCTGTATAATACAGTAAACCGTTGCGAGTAGTGTATCGATCTGATGCAGATCGATGCGCAGGCGACAATCGCTTCAACGATTCTCGAGATGGATGTGAGAGATGTGTCAACAACTTCACTATCTCACCATCTTGGGCATATGCCCGCCTCACATCATCATACAACGTTGTAGATGGGACTGAGGACGTCATAACCGCAACAGTGACTGTCTCACTGTTGGGTTTCACGACTGGTTCAAAGTCGGGACGACGTGAGAGTGCATCAGCGACGACATTAAGTCGTCCTGGTTTGTACTCAACCGTAAAGTTGTATTCTGCAAAGAATGACAACCACCGCGCCATTCGTTGTGAAAGTTGCGGGCTGTTTACTGCCGTGCGTAATGACGCATGGTCAGTGTAAACAATGAAGGGTCTATCTCCTAATAGATAGACTCTAAACTTGGCGAGTGCGTACTTCATGGCAAGGAGTTCCTTGTCATGCACTGGATAGTTCCGCTCAGCTGGTTGCAGCTGACGCGACTGATAGCAGACGACACGTTCAACGCCTTCAAGATCGTACTGCATTAATGCACAGCCGATTGCAAAATCGCTGGCATCACAGACCACATGAAATGGCCTGTCCTGATCGGCTATTGCTAGGACTGGAGATTGTATCAAGCTCTGCTTGATACCCTCAAAGGAGCGCTGACATTCAGCGTTCCATAACCACCTCTCGTTCTTTTTCAACAAACGAGAGAGGTGCACAGTCATCTCGGCGTAATTGCGTGAATACTTGTGCAAATACGCCGCTAGCCCAAGGAATTTTCGAAGACCTTTGACATCAGCTGACACAGGCCAGTCGGTGATCGCCTTGATCTTTTCGGGATCAGGACGTACACCGTTCTTACCAACGATGCACCCAAGAAGTGGTATTTCGCTTGCTGCAAATACACACTTCTTGAGGTTAGCCTACAATTGATGCTTTCGCATGATTGTAAGAACCTGTCGGACGTGGTACCTGTGAACCTCAACGTCCGACTTTCCATTCATAGCTCGACTATGGGTGAATACGTCATCGAAATAAATCGGCGCGAATTCTCGTACTGGTCTCAACAGATGCGATACACATCTGTTGAATGTGGCAGGGGCATTAATAAGCCCTTGTGGCATTACTAGCCATTCCCAGAGCATGCCGCTAGGCGTGTTCACTGCGGTATAGGGTACATCCCGTTCCCGCATAAGGATTTGATAGAAGCCATCCATCAAATCCATGGACGAAAAGATGGTACTCTTTGACATACCATCAATGATTACGTCCTTCCTCGGTATCGGCGTCTGAGCCGGTACCGTTGCAGCGTTCAATTTGTTGAACGCGTGCACTATCCGCCACCCTCCTGTTGCTTTTCGCACACCGAAGGTCGGAGAGCTATGTGAGGAAATTGATTCCCTCACATGGCCCGCAGCTAAATGATCGGCACAGAACTTGTCGATCGCAAGTACTTGTTCACGAGGCAGTGGCCACTGCTTCATGACACAGTACTTCGAGCCTGGTTTAAGCTCGACCTCGTGTCGAATACCTTTATCCTTCGGTAATTCGCACGGAACAGTTTCAGGGAATACATCCTTGAATTCAACCAAATCTTCATAGAGAGGATTTTTCTTGAGCGATTCCCACGATTGGGAGTCATATCGCTCGATTCGTGTCTTTTCATCTAGGACACTCTCGTCCATCGATGAACTACTGAGAACTCTCTCGTTCTCAGTAAACACTGTTGCTGACCTTATGTCGGTTACACACTCGTCGTCAGCGACGAGTACGCAGATCTGCTTGACTTTGCCACTACGCAGATCACGCAAGAACCTTTTATGTTCGAGCGTTGGCAACTGAGTGATCTCCGAAGTTAACTTCGGAGGCGCAATCAGATCAAGTGTATAAGCGCCTACACTCGATCCGTTATTGACTATGACATTCAATGTCTCTGTCATTTCCTGGGGACTTATTCCCTCAGGCCTCGAAGGACTTATTCCTTCGGCTTCCCGGGGACTTATTCCCGCGGGTTTCGGGGAACTTATTTCCGCCGTATTTGTAATCTTGGGACTTATTCCCTTTACTTCCTCTAGCTGGGGTTGCGCAACCACAGCTAGATCCTCTACGAAAGACTCTCCAGTCGATCTAGGATTATCGTTTCGCTTAACCTGAGCGATCGATTGTTTCTCTTCTAGATGTTCCCCGCTAGGGATACATCTTTGTCCCAGTCCACCCGACTTATTCGAGTGGTGGACCTTCGGCGCAGCCTGTGTTTCCTCACAGCCGCCGGAACTTTGCTCCGAAGTGTAACCGTTTGGTACACTAAGGTTTTGTGCAGTCGTACTAACGACCGTACCACAAGTGAGGCCATCGCACTCACTCGTAGTACATCCACACGCTTGTGGACGCTCCAAAACGTTCATCAGATGGCCATCTGATGAACAAGCGGCAGGCATCGTTACTGTTCGATGTTGCCAGTTTACCCGTGGTTCGTACCTTCTGAGCCACGGTATTCCAAGGATGGCATCAAATTTGTCATCCAAATCCAATACGATAAAGTCATCGTCATATTGGGTATCTTCTAGCGTATAGTGGATCTTCACTGTGCGCTTCATGACGGTTACGGATGCGCCTGTCGCAAGACGTACCGTCATCCTCGTAGGAGGTGTGTCACATTCACTGAATTTAAAGTGACCATCTTCTAGCGATTGGCGTCGCACAAAATTGTTGGACGCCCCACAATCGACTAGAGCTCGAAGGGACAACTTATTCGTCACTTCGAGTTTCAAGGTAATGAGTGAGACCTCATTACCTAGAGCAGCAACGCACAACGTTTGTGTGTTGGGGAGCAACCTTCATCAAGAGGCCTACAAATTCTCTTGACGTTGCTGGATCAGTAGGGTGCTCCGCACCTACTGATCCTGTCCGTTTTTGACGTTCCATCCCGTTGTTGCGTCTTTGTACCAACTGCGGACCCGCGTCCCCTGCCCATTTCTCATGGGTGGACGGTCACTACGCCCAGTGTCGCGAGACACTGGACGGAGAGGCACTACACTCGTAAGCGTAGTGTTCTGTCTTTTGACATCTGTTGCATCTCTGCAACTTCTTGTAGCCTGTAGAGCGAGCCTTCTCGCTCTCTACATAACAGAGTTCCATCGGCTCTGGACCTCCGTTGTCATATCGTCTCGGTTGACGATACGATGTCGAGCTGGCGCGAGTCTGTCTCCGACTGAAGTCTTCCTGTTCCGCAATGGAAATGGCTTGTTCTATTGAATCTAGTTCAAGCCGGAACAGGTGAGTCTTGACGGGACCATCCGCAAGACCCTGCATGAACACCGAAACCAACGTGTGTTCATCCACCGGATTGGAACTTATACAACTCGTAAGGTGTCGTATATGTTGCGCGTAAGCGTGCACATCACGCTTACCCTGCTTGAGCTTCAAGAGTTCGGTTCGAGCTCTGAACTCAGCTCTAAGCGGTTCAAACGTTTGTCTGAGCCGCGACTTGAAGACTTCTAACGACCCAAACGCATATGGGTCGTGCAACTTGAGCCCCAGTGCTCAAGTCTTGGCACGTCCTGCCAGATTTGACTGGGCAAATGCAACTTGCATATCCCCGTCGTCGATGCGACGCGCCCTTATGGTGTCATCCAATTCGACGAACCATCTCAAGAGGGAGTCTTCTTCGACCCCCCTATACTTGGAGATGTCAATCTTCAAGGTTTCGGGTCGACGCGAGTGCATCGACCCACCAGCAGCAGCCTGCTGCTGTCTCAACAGTTCAAACTGTTGAGCACCCTGTTCTCTCAACAACTCTGCTTGTTGAGAACCTTGTTGGTGAAGCAAGGCTACTTTCTCGCGTTCTGCGTCAAGTTCATTTTGAATGAACTTGGCGATAGTAGCATGTTGGGCATCTCTATTGAGAGCCTCTAGCATGACGCTAACAGCATGGATGCCCATGGTTGAACCCATTCGTTCAACCGCATCCCATTCGACATCGCTCAAATGGGAGTAGCCGTCACGCGTAGCGTGAAAGCTTTGGTCATCTTCATCATCCAACATATTCATGTTGGATGTGAACGCGGTCCTTGGACGGACTACGAAGTGCTACCAGGTGTAACGGGGCACCCTGAAGCTTGTACTGGTGACAGTACAAGCTACTTATTCTGATGACAGAATAAGGCGGTGCCTCGGAACTTCACGTACACTCGTACGTGCAGAGGAAGACGGTAAGAAGAAGCGAGTACTTGTTGAAAGTAAAAAGTAGAACTGTATTTATAATAGTTAATGTCTGCAATAAATCACTATTTATCTTCATCTAACTATGTCTAAATACAAATGTGTAAATCAGTTATCTGCTCACCACTCATTGCGTGCGTCTGTCGTGGCGCGTCTTCGTTGGTTGATATAATGGCCTATATCAACCAATTAGGAACTACTCGTAAGTGCTACAGAATATTTGTCCTTATGATAATATTCTGAGAATATAACTCTTATAGTTATATTCTATTAACAATTTCTTATAAATTGTTATGTAACGATTCACCCCGTTACATCACCCCCCTTAACCATCAGTCACTTTAGTGACTGATTGACTAGATGGATACTCGTCCCAAATCATTTGGGACAGGGTTTGCACTTGTTGGTCCGGAGTCCACTTTCCAACAATTCATCGCATGGTTAACAAGCCCATGCGATGCGCGAGCAAGGCCGCCGAGGAGCGCGTCCGCACGTCTCTGTGCGGACGCCGAAGCGAAACCACAGCAACTGATGTCTCATCGGTTGCTGAAGCGACTCAGCCTGTGTCACTTGGTGATACAGGCGCTGGTCATGAAGACACTCATGTCTTCACAGAGTATGAGCTCGGTGTCTCATACTCTCCTGATACGGAAGACGGATCCGTATCGACGGCGATCGAATCAAAGCCGCCTGCCAAGCGTGGCATGGATGATGCTATGCGTCGTAGCATCTTTGGTTCATCTGACGAATCAGATGAACCATCGCTGAAGCGAAGGCGCTCGAGGTCGCAAGATTGGGCGCTCACAGTGGTGTCGGTTCTCCTATTGACACCACTTCGCAGCGAGGTGCCAGTACTTCTGTCGGCACGTTGCAAGAAGAGCGGGACCGCAGTGTGTTGCGTCTCGCTCCCGAAAAGAAGGCATGGCTGCCTCCAAAATTCCGTCATGGATCGTTTGTCGGCGACGACGAGTGATCATTATCGAACACGGTTGTTCGATTCGTCAAGGATCCATCACCTTGACCCCAGCGCGAAAGACTATCGCGCTGAGAATGAATTCTTCATCGATGCTTTCTTCAAACATCGATGGTACGGTGGGAATCACAAACGTGATGGTCCCTCACTGCTTCAAGCGTGGAACGCCTACATCCATAACCTTGAGGATGTAGGTCGTGATGCTTGGAACGACAAATTTATCAAAGCTCGTGATAAGTTAGAAAAGCGAACCCCCGGCAGGTGCACGCTACAAGCTGCATCGTTTGTCAAGGGAGAAAGGATTACCCTGCCTCTCTTGGGGAGACTCGTGCCCATGTTGTGTGAACAACTCTGCACGAGCACCTAAGGAGGCTTACCTCCTTACTAGCCCATGGTGGCGCGTACGTATCTCTACTGAGATGTACGAAGGGATTGACAACCTGAAATCCCTTTACGACCGTGCCGGGAAGACTTTCCTCGGCGGCCCTTCTGCGGCACAGGATGTGCCGCGTCGTACTGCTCAACCAGACCCAGTACGTCAACCATCAGTTGGGAGCGGGGCTCCCAAGTATCCCAGGACGGGGGATAGCCGCGCCATCGGACGAGATAACTCGTCCGACGTCCGTTCACGTCGCGGTGGTTCAACAGCTGCTCAACTAGATAGCGCTGGCCACCGCGAGAGTCCTCTAATGGAGGTGGAGGAGGAGGAAAGACGCTCTCCACACGATCGTGGGGATCCGTGTGTTCCCGAGAGCTTCTTTGATCGCGTAACGCAAGGGTTACGCAGCGATCTCGAACATGAGCGGGACAGTCGTCTCCAAATGGCGGACACTGCCTCCGAAGCATCGAGCTGAGTTTGCCTTTGCTCAGCTTGAGAACGAGAGAGCTCTGACATCTCTTCGTGACGAGCTAAGGGTAGCTCGTGGGATTGTTGATCGGTCTCGGGATGAGATAGCTGCTCTTCAGACCCTTGTTGATGCCCACCATCAGGAGCACAAGGCTCTCTGCGAGATGCTTGAGCGCAAGGGCGTTCTTCATCGGAAGAAGCAGCGTACTGGTGGTACGGCTTAAGCCGACCAACGTAAAACGTGGGATGCGTTCGCATCTTACGTGGCAACTCGATCGTGTATGCATTGCCTAGGCGGTGCAATACACGAAATGGGCCAATGTACTTGGGTAGTAGTTTACTGCTACCCAAGTTAGTCACTACATGCTTTGGTAGATTAACCGTAGACAGTAGGACTAAGTCACATTTATTGAATAAAAGAGTGTTTGCCCTTCCATTCTTGTCAGCGTTTTGCTTTTGCTTATCCACCGCTTCGGCGATGGAATCTTGCACAAAACGGACTACCGTTTCACGAGCCAGTATGAACTCATCTGCTGGCTCGTTAGCTTCGATGCGCTGTGAGCGCACTGCAGCAACAATCCATCTTTCTTCAGTGAGGGCTTCCGCACTCTCACTGGCATCATCTTCTTCAGTGAGGGCTTCCGCACTCTCACTGGCATCATCTTCTTCAGTGAGGGCCTCCCCCCCCTCCCCTGCTCCACTTTCTTCGATATCGATGTTATCGATATCGGCATCAAACGCAATGACCTCTTCGTCAGAGCGTGATGAGCGTGAATCGTATCGGTTTTTGCTCGCGCGAGTCCCTCCCCCCTTAAACCAGAGTTACAGTCTAGTAAGGTGGGTACACGCGGATGGCGCAAGCCATTCACGTAAAATGGTGTATGGGTCGTGGACGCATGCACCGAGTTGTTAATGGCAAACTCTACCATTGGCAAAAACTCACTCCAACTCTTAAAGGAGTGTACGTATCCTCGAAGTATCTCTTCAAGGACACGATTGGCACGTTCCGTCTGACCATCTGACTCTGGATGATCAGATGTAGACATCTTCAAGCGCGTTCCGAGTGATTTGAACACGGAACGCCAGAAATCAGCACTGAATCGTGGATCTCTGTCTGATACGAGTTCACGGGGCAACCCATGAAGTCGGAAGATGGTGTCAATAAAGACACAAGCACAGCCACTTGCCGTGATTGTATCTCGTACAGCCACAAGGTGTACCATTTTGCTGAATCTGTCAACAAATACGAGAATACCCGTATTCCCGCGTGCGTCTTTGGGTAACCCGAAGACAAAGTCCATTGAGATGGATTCCCAGCACTCAGCCGGAACTGGTAGAGGCTGTAATGGTGCACGCAGTGAAGGACTTGACTTCACTCGTTGGCAGACTTCGCATGCGCGAACATACTTTTGCACAAACTGATACTGGCGGGGACAGTAAAAGTCTCGACTTACCGTGAGATATGTTTTCTCTCGGCCACGATGTCCTCCTATAGGAGCATCGTGATACTCGAACATGATCCGCAAACGCAGATCAGTATCATCTGGAATGACAACACGTGGTGTGTCACCAGAAACGGCTGTATAGTACAGTAAACCGTTACGAGTAGTGTATCGATCTGATGCAGATCGATACGCAGACGACAATCGCTTCAACGATTCTCGAGATGGTTGGGAGAGATGTGTCAACAACTTCACTATCTCACCATCTTGGGCGTATGCCCGCCTCACATCATCATACAACGTTGTAGATGGGACTGAGGACGTCATAACCGCAACAGTGACTGTCTCACTGTTGGGTTTCGCGACTGTTTCAAAGTCGGGACGACGTGAGAGTGCATCAGCGACGACATTAAGTCGTCCTGGTTTGTACTCGACCGTAAAGTTGTATTCCGCAGAGAATGACAACCACCGCGCCATTCGTTGTGAAAGGTGCGGGCTGTTCACTGCCGTGCGTAACGACGCATGGTCAGTGTAAACAATGAAGGGTCTATCTCCTAATAGATAGACTCTGAACTTCGCGAGTGCATACTTCATGGCAAGGAGTTCCTTGTCATGCACTGGATAGTTCCGCTCAGCTGGTTGCAGCTGACGCGACTGATAGCAGACGACGCGTTCTACGCCTTCTAGGTCGTACTGCATTAATGCACAGCCGATTGCGAAATCGCTGGCATCACAGACCACATGAAATGGCCTGTCCTGATCGGCTATTGCTAGGACTGGGGATTGTATCAAGCTCTGCTTGATACCCTCAAAGGAGCGCTGACATTCAGCGTTCCATAACCACCTCTCGTTCTTTTTCAACAAAGGAGAGAGGTGCACAGTCATCTCGGCGTAATTGCGTGAATACTTGTGCAAATACGCCGCTAGCCCAAGGAATTTTCGAAGACCTTTGACATCAACCGGCACAGGCCAGTCGGTGATCGCCTTGATCTTTTCGGGATCAGGACGTACACCGTTCTTACCAACGATGCACCCAAGAAGTGGTATTTCGCTTGCTGCAAATACACACTTCTTGAGGTTAGCATACAATTGATGCTTTCGCATGATTGTAAGAACCTGTCGGACGTGGTACCTGTGAACCTCAACGTCCGACTTTCCATTCATAGCTCGACTATGGGTGAATACGTCATCGAAATAACTCGGCGCGAATTCTCGTACTGGTCTCAACAGATGCGATACACATCTGTTGAATGTGGCAGGGGCATTACTAAGCCCTTGTGGCATTACTAGCCATTCCCAGAGCATGCCGCTAGGCGTGCTAACTGCGGTATAGGGTATATCCCGCTCCCGCATAAGGATTTGATAGAAGCCATCCATCAAATCCATGGACGAAAAGATGGTACTCTTTGACATACCATCAATGATTACGTCCTTCCTTGGTATCGGCGTCTGAGCCGGTACCGTTGCAGCGTTCAATTTGTTGAACGCGTGCACTATCCGCCACCCTCCTGTTGCTTTTCGCACACAGAAGGTCGGAGAGCTATGTGGGGAAGTTGATTCCCTCACATGGCCCGCAGCTAAACGATCGGCAAAGAACTTGTCGATCGCAAGTACTTGTTCACGAGGCAGTGGCCACTGCTTCATGACACAGTACTTCGAGCCTGGTTTAAGCTCGACCTCGTGTCGAATACCTTTATCCTTCGGTAATTCGCACGGAACAGTTTCAGGGAATACATCCTTGAATTCAACCAAATCTTCATAGAGAGGATTTTTCTTGAGCGATTCCCACGATTGGGAGTCATATCGCTCGATTCGTGTCTTTTCATCTAGGACACTCTCGTCCATAGATGAACTACTGAGAACTCTCTCGTTCTCAGTGAACACTGTTGCTGACCTTATGTTGGTTACACACTCGTCGTCAGTGACGAGTATGCAGATCTGCTTGACTTTGCCACTACGCAGATCACGCAAGAACCTTTTATGTTCGAGCGTTGGCAACTGAGTGATCTCCGAAGTCAACTTCGGAGGCGCAATCAGATCAAGTGTATAAGCGCCTACACTTGATCCGTTATTGACTATGACATTCAATGTCTCTGTCATTTCCTGGGGACTTATTCCCTCAGGCCTCGAAGGACTTATTCCTTCGGCTTCCCGGGGACTTATTCCCGCGGGTTTCGGGGAACTTATTTCCGCCGTATTTGTAATATCGGGACTTATTCCCTTTACTTCCTCTAGCTGGGGTTGCGCAACCACAGCGAGATCCTCTACGAAAGACTCTCCAGTCGATCTAGGATTATCGTTTCGCTTAACCTGAGCGATCGATTGTTTCTCTTCTAGATGTTCCCCGCTAGGGATACATCTTTGTCCCAGTCCACCCGACTTATTCGAGTGGTGGACCTTCGGCGCAGCCTGTGTTTCCTCACAGCCGCCGGAACTTTGCTCCGAAGTGTAACCGTTTGGTACACTAAGGTTTTGTGCAGTCGTACTAACGACCGTACCACAAGTGAGGCCATCGCACTCACTCGTAGTACATCCACACGCTTGTGGACGCTCCAAAACGTTCATCAGATGGCCATCTGATGAACAAGCGGCAGGCATCGTTACTGTTCGATGTTGCCAGTTTACCCGTGGTTCGTACCTTCTGAGCCACGGTATTCCAAGGATGACATCAAATTTGTCATCCAAATCCAATACGATAAAGTCATCGTCATATTGGGTATCTTCTAGCGTATAGTGGATCTTCACTGTGCGCTTCATGACGGTTACGGATGCGCCTGTCGCAAGACGTACCGTCATCCTCGTAGGAGGTGTGTCACATTCACTGAATTTAAAGTGACCATCTTCTAGCGATTGGCGTCGCACAAAATTGTTGGACGCCCCACAATCGACTAGAGCTCGAAGGGACAACTTATTCGTCACTTCGAGTTTCAAGGTAATGAGTGAGACCTCATTACCTAGAGCAGCAACGCACAACGTTTGTGTGTTGGGAGCAACCTTCATCAAGAGGCCTACAAATTCTCTTGACGTTGCTGGATCAGTAGGGTGCTCCGCACCTACTGATCCTGTCCGTTTTTTGACGGTCCATCCCGTTGTTGCGTCTTTGCACCAACTGCGGACCCGCGTCCCTGCCCCTTTCTCATGGGTGGACGGTCACTACGCCCAGTGTCGCGAGACACTGGACGAGAGGCACTACACTCGTAAGCGTAGTGTTCTGTCTTTTGACATCTGTTGCATCTCTGCAACTTCTTGTAGCCTGTAGAGCGAGCCTTCTCGCTCTCTACATCACAAAGTTCCATCGGCTCTGGACCTCCGTTGTCATATCGTCTCGGTTGACGATACGATGTCGAGCTGGCGCGAGTCTGTCTCCGACTGAAGTCTTCCTGTTCCGCAATGGAAATGGCTTGTTCTAGTGAATCTAGTTCAAGTCGGAACAGGTGAGTCTTGACGGGACCATCCGCAAGACCCTGCATGAACACCGAAACCAACGTGTGTTCATCCACCGGATTGGAACTTATACAACTCGTGAGGTGTCGTATATGTTGCGCGTAAGCGTGCACATCACGCTTACCCTGCTTGAGCTTCAAGAGTTCGGTTCGAGCTCTGAACTCAGCTCTAGGCGGTTCAAACGTTTGTCTGAGCCGCGACTTGAAGACTTCTAACGACCCAAACGCATATGGGTCGTGCAACTTGAGCCCCAGTGCCCAAGTCTTGGCACGTCCTGCCAGATTTGACTGGGCAAATGCAACTTGCATATCCCCGTCGTCGATGCGACGCGCCCTTATGGCGTCATCCAATTCGACGAACCATCTCAAGAGGGAGTCTTCTTCGACCCCCTATACTTGGAGATGTCAATCTTCAAGGTTTCGGGTCGACGCGAGTGCATCGACCCACCAGCAGCAGCCTGCTGCTGTCTCAACAGTTCAAACTGTTGAGCACCCTGTTCTCTCAACAACTCTGCTTGTTGAGAACCTTGTTGGTGAAGCAAGGCTACTTTCTTGCGTTCTGCGTCAAGTTCATTTTGAATGAACTTGGCGATAGTAGCATGTTGGGCATCTCTATTGAGAGCCTCTAGCATGACGCTAACAGCATGGATGCCCATGGTCGAACCCATTCGTTCAACCGCATCCCATTCGACATCGCTCAAATGGGAGTAGCCGTCACGCGTAGCGTGAAAGCTTTGGTCATCTTCATCATCCAACATATTCATATTGGATGTGAACGCGGTCCTTGGACGGACTACGAAGTGCTACCAGGTGTAACGGGGCACCTTGAAGCTTGTACTGGTGAAAGTACAAGCTACTTATTCTGATGACAGAATAAGGCGGTGCCCCGGAACTTCACGTACACTGGTACGTGCAGAGGAAGACGGTAAGAAGAAGCGAGTACTTTGTTAGAGTAAAAAGTAGAACTGTATTTAGTATAGTTAATGTCTGCAATAAATCACTATTTATCTTCATCTAACTATGTCTAAATACAAATGTGTAAATCAAATATCTGCTCACCACTCATTGCGTGCGTCTGTCGTGACGCGTCTTCGTTGGTTGATATAATGGCCTATATCAACCAATTAGGAACTACTCGTAAGTGCTACAGAATATTTGTCCTTATGACAATATTCTGAGAATATAACTCTTATAGTTATATTCTATTAACAATTTCTTATAAATTGTTATGTAACGATTCACCCCGTTACAGCCGCAGTTCATCTACCAAACAGCCGTGCCGGTTCTCCGCCATCCAATGGACTAAAACAGACGGGTCCAGGATCTGAAGAAGCTCACCAGGAAATGTGAACCTCTTGACTAGCCAGAGTAAGTGATCGGGCACATGACCAGCGACCCTCTGCCATTCTAACGTCGAGCTGCTGGCGAGAGGAAATGGAATCTGTTTCGGGTTTGGCCACATCGATTCCATAAGCTCCCACGCTGCTGCCCAGTCCGTTCGGTCGACGCGCTCGTTTGCCTCATCGCCTGGGGGAGCTGAGGCCCTGGGTCTCGCCTTCTCTCTTAGCTACCGCTTCCTTGGCGCGCTGCGACCTGTCCGTCCCATCTGATATCTGCAAAATTTGAGACGCCACAAGCGCCCTTTTACGATCAGTGGGGGAGGGGGTCGCATCCTTGCTGGAGGCGCTGAGGGAATCGTAGAACAGCTAACCTGCCGCTCCACCAGTGCTCGCGCGTTGCAATCGTCCGGTCTATGTCTACTCAGGACCTCCGTTGACGCGTCGATAAAGTCATCCCGTAAGACTAGTATCCCTGCTAGCTGTCCAGACGTCTCGGGTACAGGCGCCGTCGCCTCCTGAGTAACCGGACACACCGACGTACCAGCAGCCGTCTGCTCAAGTGATGTTGTCTCCGCCACCAAGTCGGGCAACAGACTGGAACTCCCAGAGTGATTAATAGCGGAATAGTGGCAATTCTGGTAGCGCAATACGAGAGGAGGGAGCCCGGGTGCCTTAATTTTTGCCGCTAATACTGCATCCATGAGGTCCATAATTCCCAGCGGACATTCCGCCGCCGTCACGACCCTCCGCCGATGGCGGGTGATCGTGGTGGGTACAAATTTACGGCAGCGCCACGGGTGGGTCTGGCCAGTAAGAAACTCGATAACATAGATTGACTGTTGTAGAAAATTGGCCGCCATGCCGACCATATCGCAGCCCCCCCATGTGTCCGAACCAACCAGAGCCGTTCGGGCGGACGGGCTGGTAGCATAGTCTTCGAGGTACCATCGTATCTGCGAAGCTGATTCCTTGTGAGTCATCGTAGGCCAACCTCTGCTGACGCTAGCCAGAGCATGAACTCTATGATCGTGAGCATACTGATCCTCCAGATCCAGCAAGCCCGACAATTTAATCCCCCGTTTAAGGCAAGCTGTCAGTAGCTCCAGATGCCTGTCTGGACCGTCCAGGGACGCGTCCGTTGCCGCTTGGGCAATAGCCATGGCAAGACAATTAGTAGTAGCCGGTGTGATTACCGGGTAAATCGCAAGTTGGGACGTTAACTCCGCTACGTCCGTCGGGACGTCTGTTGCTCGTGCTCGTACTGTCGTCAGAGCCTTGGGCAGCCGACCCAAATCCGCGACCAATTGTCGAAAGGATCCTCTCTCGTTACGCTTGAGAGTCATCAGCACTGGACCCGTCGTACTCGGAGCCGACCCACGTCCAGCCCCCCGTTGCTTCCGGGCCTTCTCGGAAGACGTAAGAAGCGAGTGCGTACCGGCCCCGTCCGATAAGCCCACCGTTGGATTAAGTGCCCCGGCTGACCGTGAATGAAGCACCCTGATCTCTTCCGACGCATCCGAACTAGTTTTTGTCTCCTCGGCCCAGTCCTCGCCATCCTCGCCTATAAGCTCCTGCCCTCCTGTCCGCACCTGTGAGGCCACCGCTTTTACCTGGCCCGTGGCCGCTTTAGACGAACCTCTCGATCGTCCCTTTTTGGACTGCTTGGTGATCCACGGCTGTGGTGCTGCTGGACGCGGATCTGGTTGCATGTGAGCAAACTTCTCCCCTTGTTCCGCTTGTGGAGCACTACTGGGGCTCGTAACCTCAGGAAGTGAAATAGCGGCTTGCGTCCCTGATATTTGTCCTCGCGCGGGTGGCGAAACCGCTGCTTGAGCTAACTCCTCCGCTGCTTCTTGGAGCGCTAGGCGCCGCCCTGCCATCTCTTTAATTTCCTCGAAGCTGAGAAATGGTCTCGCAAGATCCTCGAGACCCTTGACGTCCTCCTCCATTACGACTACGCCCCCTGGCCCGCGCAACTGAAGGTCGGTGAATGTACACCGCGCCAGCGTGTGGCCGAGGTTGCCACATTGAAGACACTGCAGCCGCCTGCCGACATTCGGAGGCTTAACAATTATGGTCGTCCCGAACCATAACAACCGAACAATGCCGTCGAGGAAAGTCGGACAGCCCGCTAGTTTGAAGGTTACCCTCCATATTGTCGATGTCCTGGAATCGGGGGTATGCGTGTCCAGGTCCTCCATCACGAATTCCGTCAAAATCTTCTCCTTCAAAAAAGCTGCAATCCGGCCTATGTCGACAAACCGAGTTACATTGAGAAGCAGAATCGTGTATTCCACTCGCCGGCCTTGTGGTTGTCCATTAAGCCCCCGCTGTCGGTCCCATATCGGGCCGGCCGCTGCTCGGTGGGCATTCAGGAGCCGGTATACTCCTCCCGAAAAAGGCACCCGCACCTCCTTGTGCTTCTCGGCAGTTTCTCTGGTAAAGAAATAGAAGTGAATCGACTTCGTTACTTGATCGTAGCTGATCGTCTTCGTCTGGCCTAGCATGTTGTGTAGCGCAGGTAAGTTTACTCGCGCCAGCTCCGCCGATTCCAGGATCCGCTCGGTGATAGCTTTCGTACTCTGTCGGGTAACCCGGACACCCCCAGAGCGCCCCAATTGCATAATCAATTCGCCTTCTACCTGAGCCTGAATCGTAGAAACTAGTCTGAGGCATTCCTCACTTCGGAGGATGTGCGGAAGAAAAGCCGGCATGTTGCGGCATGCTATGGTGCCCTCGATTAAACCCAAGACAATCTTCCATTCATCGTCTGTTCCCTTACGGACTTGGTGTTGTCCTGCCGGGGCCTGCGGCGACGCGCATACAGCTCGGAGCCGCGCGATCTCCACCCCGGAAAACTTAGCGGGATTAAACATGAATTCCTCATATTTCGCTTTTCGTGGCGGCGGTGGAGCCGCTGATGGAGTCAGGCCTGTGCGAACAACAGCCGCCCATTGATGGAGCACTGGCGCGTGCGCCCACTTATGCTGGCTCGCAAGTCTGCGTACTATCTCTCGGAAAGCCCACTTAGTGGTAAAAAGCTCCCGCGTAATGGTCGACGCTAGTTTTTTTCATTCCTCAAAGCGTCCCGTGGTGTTGACAAACGCTTGTTCAAAAAAGCCTAGTAGACTGGACGCTTCGGCTTCACTCAAAGTCGGGAAACGTTTTCTATCCGCCGGCAGCTCCTCGGAAAGAACTGGGACTGTCGCGTAGGCCTCCGCGAAAAGCTGCCTGATCGTTTGGATCCAGGCCTCGACGTTTCCGACATTCGGTGATTCCTTCATGTCCCCAACCAAAGCAGAAAACATGGCCTCTGACGAAACCCGCCGGATGGGGGCCTGTCGCGGAGGAGGGGAGGGCGACTGGCCGTCCGTGGGGTCGGGCTCAGGAGCTGCCGGTGGCGCTGTCCCGTTGGACCTGTCACTGCCGTCCTGAGATTTACTCCTTTAACCGCCGAAGCGCTAGGCTCGCGTTGAAGGGGAAAAGCCGACCCAAGTGGACCGGCTGTGCTAAGGCATCCAATCGGCATGCCTTCGTCACCGAGCATGGGGTGGTCGTCATCAGCCGTCGGTCCCTGTGAATCCTCCTGGATGGTCCCTGTGAATCCTCCTGGATGGCCCCTGGAAGCGGTGGTAAGGCCGATATGCTGGCGCCCGGCCTTGCCGCTTCCACCGGCTGAGTCATTCGACTCTCGTCGCTATCCGTCGACGCGCAGACTGTACCTGGACGAGGCACAGTAGGCTCCTCGGGTAGGGTAGATGCCCCTCCCGGGTCATCCCCACCTCCCGGGGGGGAGATCTAGGGGCTGCATAGCGCCTGGACGCCGCTCGCTGTGAGCCAATAAAAACGGGTTTAAACTCCTCTGTAATTCGATAAGATCACTGCGTCGCAAATAGAAGAGTGACGCCGACTCTTATGAACACAACCGTCCGCACCACCGTAAGTCGCATCACCGTAACTCGCACCGCGGTGCCCATCACCACCGTAACTCCCTCGACGGTAACTCCAAAAACCGACACTCCCACCATGGCGATGACTCCCACTACGGTAGTCAGAACCAAGATTCGTCCTACTATAACAGCGACAGTGGTAGCTACATCCGCGGCAGCTACGAAGGTGATGACGACCACAGCAACGGCCACCACATGAGCGATCGACAAAACAGCGACAGCTATGGAGAGGGTAAGTACAACAGCGGGGACCACATGAGCGACCACCACCACAACAGCAACAACCACAACAGCAACAGCTACGGAGAGAACGAGTCCACCAATTACAACGGCAAGAATGACAACACCAACGATGACATGAACAACAACAACGACAAGAACGACGACGGCAATGAGGACAACAACAGCGACAGATACGAAGGTGGCCACCACACCAGCGATTACCACAAGAGCGGTGGCTACGGAGATGACAACAACAACAACAACAACAACGACGACAACAATAACCAAATGAGTGGCAGCTATGGAGATGACAACCACGACAGCAGTAATTACGGTAACGACCATCACAAGAGCGGCAACTACCACAAGTACAACCACGGTCACCGCAACCACAACTACGGTCACCGCAACAGCGGAAGCTACGAGGATGGCAGCTACAACGACGGCAACATGGACAACAACAACAACGGTGACAACCACAGTAACGGAGACCACACCAGCAACCACCACGAGAGAGGTGGATATGGAGAGGGTCGCTACAACGGCGGCCACCACAACAGCGGTAGCTACGAAAAGTGGTAGCTACAACAACGGTACCTTTAACCAAGGCGTAAACGGATACCTTTCCATCAAAATGTCTTCCAACTCCTTTTTTTTGCCAAGCTTCCGAGTACGAAACTGTCGGGACGCAGTAGGTCGATGAGGACAGACACATTCGTATAGCTGTTGGTAGAAACAGGGCAAGAGAGCTGTTGTCCCTGCGATCAGTTGACCAATTACTCGGTGATGACCGCATCAACTGATATCGGAAGGAAGTGGCGGACCGTTCCGACCGTCATGCAACCGTTGGCAACTGCTTCCCAAACGCTATCGTACGATAACGAGAACTCAAGGCTGGCACGCTTTCTACCATCAGCAAAACAGGACCAAATGGTTGGCGCTGTCATTCATTCGTTGTTCATGAGCCCTCGGGTAGCACTTTCCATCCGAATGGACGCTGGTTATCGAACACATGCTAAGGTAATGCGCACGGTCGATCAAACGAGCGCAGCATAGATCAATGCTTTCTGCTCGGTCGTCTGGGATGGACTAACGTCTGCTACTATCGCATGACCTGATGGTCGGATGCAACTTACCCAGTCACTCTACTTTGTGATACTAAAAGCACTTGGCACTCTGTGGTTGGGTGTAACTCGATGGGCATCTACATTTCTCTGTTTCTGTTCTGAAGTAACTTGAAATTACTCAGATCGCTCATAACCTAACACTTACCAGCGATCGGTAGACGCCCTGTTCGATACCCTACCAGAGGTTAAGACTGAATGGAGGACACCTAACCAGATGTAGAGCTGTGCTTGCAAAATGGTGTAAGCGTCGATGCGATTGGTATGACCCTCGACACGCTATGTCATCTAGTCGCACATAAGACTACGAGGAACATGACCGGCTAAATGAAATAACCCTCTGCTATGATCTTCTCCAAGTAATCGCAAGTTTAAAAAGAGGACAAGCATTTGGCGGCACGCCAAATTGGGTTATCAACACTGCAATCCGACTGGCCGAAGCACCTACAGCTAAAGCAGAAGTACTTCAAGGAAAGACAGCAAAGTAAATGCATTGGCCTGCCTGTTAGGTAGTAGCACGACTATCTTTGGTTGCCACATGGTGCGAGATACCCAATAAAGGGATGATTCTGCTTCACGCCTGAAAAAAGGTTTGAAAGAAACATCCGGGCATCGAAGTCGCTGATCGATATGAATCTTAGCGACTGGTGCCCGGTAACAAATGCATGCCTTGTATGAACAGTAGTTGTCATGTGCGGGCGACAGAAGGCGTAGATCAGAATTGACTCAGGCTTTTCGGGTGTTGCATATCACATTTCCATCTACTACGATGAATCGTTTGAGCCATTGGAGACTCTACCATCCTAATGGTGGCGTGCCTTGATGAGGTTCTGCGTTAACGTTTGCCTCCATGAGGTTCCGCGTCAATGAGTACATATTCAGTTCTGGCGTCTCATTTGTAGTGCCGCCAACACGTCGATACCAATGAAACAACAACCACGCAGGCACGCGCCAGCGAGAGAGAGAGTGGAAAGAAACGTAACTTTGGTGATTCACAGTTCCCCAGTTGCACCGCGCTCTGGCGACGTCAAGACCGGTCGCAGTAGCAATCGTTGCATTTCTGACTGCCACCTACAAGGCCGTTTGTCGCCATATGGTGGAATTTATCGTTCGATTCGATTTTCGTCACGAAACCCGAGTCATTCATTCGTATCCTGAAAGCTGCTGCTGCAACATACTGAAACACTCATCTCGACCTTCTCACGACAATATGGTGCATCACAACCACCAAACAATGTTTCACGGCAACTTGGCCAGAACAAAAGAGACAACTTTGACTCAAACGCGTGCGGTAGAACCATCGGGGGCAACACCTCGCTGCACTGGTCAGTCTTTGGTCCAGATCCGCACCGTTCTCCTTTGTTCTAGAGTTGTCTCCTGCATCTCGACAGCACCACGGGCTGCTAGCTACAAGGAGAAGAAGAAGAAGACGCTCCGTTCAATTCATTCTGCAACTTGCAGCAAAGGCGAGTCACAACCTCAACCTCCACCTGAACCTCCACCTCCACCACTCGACAGCTTGAGTCCTCGCTCAGCAGCATTCAACCGTCCAGCAGCAACCATGAAAGTCTTGGTTTTCTCGATCTTTAGTCTTTCTGCGGCCTTGCCAGCATCAGCTGGTACCCCCAAGTACGACGAGGACCTCGGCTGCTGGCCAATCAGCGTCGAGCGTGACGCCACCTACTGCATCGACGGGCCCGTCTGCAGCGGCGAGGGCTCGTCGCCTGCCGGATCCTCGTGCCCTGTCAAAGGTGATGTGGCGATCGCCGACTGTGACTCGAATGTCACTCGCGACAGTGTCGGCGACTACTGCGAGCTGTCAGTCGACACCGTCTGTGAGGTCATTCACACGGGGGCCTGGGGATGCGTCATCCCAACAAACGACCACGCCGACTCTTCTAAACATAACCGTCCGCACCACCGTAACTCGCGCGACCGTAACTCGCACGACCGTAACTCGCATCACCGTAACTCGCACCGCGGTGCCCATCACCACCGTAACTCCCACGACGGTAACTCCAAAGACCGACACTCCCACTACGGTAGTCAGAACCAAGATTCGTCCTACTATAACAGCGACAGTGGTGGCTACAACAGCGGCAGCTACGAAGGTGATGACGAACACAACAACGGCCACCACATGAGCGACTACAACGACATCAACGGCCACCAATTAAACGAGAACCACAACGGCGGTAACCACAACAATGGCAATCACGAAAATGGCGCCCACAAGAGCGACAGCCATGAAGATGATAGCTACAAGAACAACAACGACCATCACATGATCGACCACCACATGAGTGACCGGCACACGAGCGACCACCACAGCAGCAACAATCACAACAGTGGTAAGCACAATGGTGGTAAGCACAACAGCAACGGTAGCAGCAACGACAAGAGCAGTGGCAAACGCATCAGCGGCAACTACGAAAATGACATCAACAACTGCGGAACCCAGAAGAGCGACGAGCACAACCACGGACACCACAAGGGCGACAACTGCAACAGTGGCAGCTATGGAGATGACGACAACATCAATGACGACGACAACAACAACGACCACTACAAGAGCGGCAACAACAACAACGACCACTACAAGAGCGGCAACAACAACAACGACCGCTACAAGAGCGGCAACAACAACAACGGATATTACATGAGCGACCACCACAAGAGCGGCAGCTACGAATACGACAGCAACAACCACAACAACGGCCACCACAACAGCGGCAGCTACGAAGATGGCAGCTATGGAAAGGACGACCACACCAAGGACGACGACAACAGCGACAGCTATGAAGATGACAACAACAACAACAGCGACAGCTATGAAGATGACAACTACAACAGCGACAGATATGAAGATGAAAGCTACAACAACGACTACAGCACCGGCGACTACAATGGCGGTAGCTATAAAGATGGTAGCTTCGGCAGTGGGTCTGCCGGTAGCAGCAGCTACAAAGATGGCAGCTTTGGCAGTGGGTCTGCTGATCGCAGAATTATGGCCGGCATAATGACGCAGAAGGCCGGCACTAAAGGAGCTTCATCTGGTGGAGTTTCCGTGGGCGTGGTTGGTGCAGTAGCGGCTGCAGCAGCGGCTGTGGCAGCTGTGGCGGGGGTGGCCATTTACCGACAGCACGGTACGACAAAATCGAAGAAACCGGTGAACACGACGGTAGTGGAGGTCGTGACGCCTTGAGCCGACCATTTGCGTCGCTCGGATCTCTCAAGTTCGGGTCTTTTTAGCCTAACACTTAAGCACAGCGGTTCCGTCTTTCAATACCGAGATCCCACTTGGTTTCTATTGCTTTCTCTCGCTCGTGCATTATCTAATCCTTGTGACATGATGACAAAGATCCTAGTGCCCGATTACGACAAGGAGGACAGTCCCAAGCTGAAGTAGTACACCTCTTGGTCAGCCTGTCTCCATTACGTCGACAAGAATTCGATTATATTCTGGCATCCACACTTGTCAGCATCTGAATCTTTGTCACATGTGAAATGTCTAATGCAAAGAAGCGCCCGCTACCTGATTGCCTGCTCCTCTTGGTCGCCGCTCAGGATCGTGACCGAACGGCTGAAGCCAAATATAAAACCTCACCGAACTTAAGAGAGAGAGAGTCAGAGACTGTAGGCGGGCACTTAAAGCTGCCACGCACTACCTCAACACACACCTTCAGGCACCTGCGAGGAAGCGGTTTTACCATCTTCTCTCGCGTGCAGTGAGGTTTGGGAGGGCGTCTTACGGCTGCTTCACTGATTTATGTAAGCTAGTAATAAGTATGGCTTGGATGCGGTTTCCCGTCCTCCCGCACACACATTGTTAAGATTGCAAGTTAAGGACTGATTTATATTCAATGAATAAAACCTGAATAAAAACCAAAATAAAACAGGTTATTGGCTTAAAGACAAAAGATTATAACCAATATCCTGTTTTATTCAGGTCGCGCGCTCTGATGAGACGCCGTCTTTACAGCGCACTTAAGAACAAGTGTAGGTGCGCTGATATCGTCACTACTTGACGTCATCCGTGTGTGTGACACACACATTGTGGTAAACACGCAATTACTGCACCCCACTAACGTTGAGGACTAAGTGCGCACCACACTTAGATCCTCTATCTGACTTGTCCGTGCCTTTCCACGGAAAGTCTCGTGCACTTTTTCTGTAACGGGGTGAATCGTTAGATAACAATTTATAAGAAATTGTTAATAGAATATAACTATAAGAGTTATATTCACAGAATATTGTCATAAGGACAGATATTCTGTAGCACTTACGAGTAGTTCCTAATTGGTTGATATAGGCCATTATATCAACCAACGAAGACGCGCCACGACAGACGCACGCAATGAGTGGTGAGCAGATAGTTGATTTACACATTTGTATTTAGACATAGTTAGATGAAGATAAATAGTGATTTATTGCAGACATTAACTATTATAAATACAGATCTACTTTTTACTTTCAACAAGTACTCGCTTCTTCTTACCGTCTTCCTCTGCACGTACGAGTGTACGTGAAGTTCCGAGGCACCGCCTTATTCTGTCATCAGAATAAGTAGCTTGTACTGTCATCAGAACAAGCTTCAGGGTGCTTTGTTACACTTGGTAGCACTTCGTAGTCCGTCCAAGGACCGCGTTCACATCCAACATGAATATGTTGGATGATGAAGATGACCAAAGCTTTCACGCTACGCGTGACGGCTACTCCCATTTGAGCGATGTCGAATGGGATGCGGTTGAACGAATGGGTTCGACCATGGGCATCCATGCTGTTAGCGTCATGCTAGAGGCTCTCAATAGAGATGCCCAACATGCTACTATCGCCAAGTTCATTCAAAATGAACTTGACGCCGAACACGAGAAAGTAGCCTTGCTTTACCAACAAGGTTCTCAACAAGCAGAGTTGTTGAGAGATCAGGGTGTTCAACAGTTTGAACTGTTGAGACAGCAGCAGGCTGCTGCTGGTGGGTCGATGCACTCGCGTCGACCCGAGACTTTGAAGATTGACATCTCCAAGTATAGGGGGGTCGAAGAGGACTCCCTCTTGAGATGGTTCGTCGAATTGGATGACGCCATAAGGGCGCGTCGCATCGACGACAAGGATATGCAAGTTGCATTTGCCCAGTCAAATCTGGCAGGACGTGCCAAGACTTGGGCACTGGGGCTCAAGTTGCACGACCCATATGCGTTTGGGTCGTTGGAAGTCTTCAAGTCGCGGCTCAGACAAACGTTTGAACCGCCTAGAGCTGAGTTCAGAGCTCGAACCGAACTCTTGAAGCTCAAACAGGGTAAGCGTGATGTGTACGCTTACGCGCAACATATACGACATCTTACGAGTTGTATAAGTTCCAATCCGGTGGATGAACACACGTTGGTTTCGGTGTTCATGCAGGGTCTTGCGGATGGTCCCGTCATGACTCACCTGTTCCGGCTTGAACTAGATTCACTAGAACAAGCCATTTCCATTGCGGAGCAGGAAGACTTCAGTCGGAGACAGACTCGCGCCAGCTCGACATCGTATCGTCAACCGAGACGATATGACAACGGAGGTCCAGAGCCGATGGAACTCTGTTATGTAGAGAGCGAGAAGGCTCGCTCTACAGACTACAAGAAGTTGCAGAAATGCAACAGATGTCAGAAGACAGGACACTACGCTTACGAGTGTAGTGCTCCTCGTCCAGTGTCTCGCAACACTGGGCGTAGTGACCGTCCACCCATGAGAAAGGGGCAGGGACGCGGGTCCGCTGTTGGTCCAAAGACGCAACAACGGGATGGACCGTCAAAAAACGGACAGGATCAGTAGGTGCGGAGCACCCTACTGATCCAGCAACGTCAAGAGAATTTGTAGGCCTCTTGATGAAGGTTGCTCCCAGCACACAAACGTTGTGCGTTGCTGCTCTAGGTAATGAGGTCTCACTCATTACCTTGAAACTCGAAGTGACGAAAAAGTTGTCCCTTCGAGCTCTAGTCGATTGTGGGGCGTCCAACAATTTTGTGCGACGCCAATCGCTAGAAGATGGTCAATTTAAGTTCAGTGAATGTGACACACCTCCTACGAGGATGACGGTACGTCTTGCGACAGGCGCATCCGTAACCGTCATGAAGCGTATAGTGAAGATCCACTATACGCTAGAAGATACCCAATATGACGATGACTTTATCGTATTGGATTTGGATGACAAATTTGATGCCATCCTTGGAATACCGTGGCTCAGAAGGTACGAACCACGAGTAAACTGGCAACATCGGACAGTAACGATGCCTGCCGCTTGTTCATCACATGGCCATCTGATGAACGTTTTGGAGCGTCCACAAGCGTGTGGATGTACTACGAGTGAGCGCGATGGCCTCACTTGTGGTACGGTCGTTAGTACGACTGCACAAAACCTTAGTGTACCAAACGGTTACACTTCGGAGCAAAGTTCCGGCGGCTGTGAGGAAACACAGGCTGCGCCGAAGGTCCACCACTCGAATAAGTCGGGTGGACTGGGACAAAGATGTATCCCTAGCGGGGAACATCTAGAAGAGAAACAATCGATCGCTCAGGTTAAGCGAAACGATAATCCTAGATCGACTGGAGAGTCTTTCGTAGAGGATCTCGCTGTGGTTGCGCAACCACAGCTAGAGGAAGTTAAGGGAATAAGTCCCGATCTTACAAATACGGCGGAAATAAGTTCCCCGAAACCCGCGGGAATAAGTCCCCGGGAAGCCGAAGGAATAAGTCCTTCGAGGCCTGAGGGAATAAGTCCCCAGGAAATGACAGAGACATTGAATGTCATAGTCAATAACGGATCGAGTGTAGGCGCTTATACACTTGATCTGATTGCGCCTCCGAAGTTGACTTCGGAGATCACTCAGTTGCCAACGCTCGAACATAAAAGATTCTTGCGTGATCTGCGTAGTGGCAAAGTCAAGCAGATCTGCGTACTCGTCGCTGACGACGAGTGTGTAACCGACATAAGTTCAGCAACAGTGTTTACTGAGAACGAGAGAGTTCTCAGTAGTTCATCTATGGACGAGAGTGTCCTAGATGAAAAGACACGAATTGAGCGATATGACTCCCAATCGTGGGAATCGCTCAAGAAAAATCATCTCTATGAAGATTTGGTTGAATTCAAGGATGTATTCCCTGAAACTGTTCCGTGCGAATTACCGAAGGATAAATGTATTCGACACGAGGTCGAGCTTAAACCAGGCTCGAAGTACTGTGTCATGAAGCAGTGGCCACTGCCTCGTGAACAAGTACTTGCGATCGACAAGTTCTTTGCCGATCGTTTAGCTGCGGGCCATGTGAGGGAATCAACTTCCCCACATAGCCCTCCGACCTTCTGTGTGCGAAAAGCAACAGGAGGGTGGCGGATAGTGCATGCATTTAACAAGTTGAATTTTGCAACGGTACCGGCTCAGACGCCGATACCGAGGAAGGACGTAATCATTGATGGTATGTCAAAGAGTACCATCTTTTCGTCCATGGATTTGATGGATGGCTTCTATCAAATCCTAATGCGGGAACGGGATGTACCCTATACCGCAGTGAACACGCCTAGCGGCATGCTCTGGGAATGGCTAGTAATGCCACAAGGGCTTATTAATGCCCCTGCCACATTCAACAGATGTTTATCGCATCTGTTGAGACCAGTACGAGAATTCGCGCCGATTTATTTCGATGACGTATTCACCCATAGTCGAGCTATGAATGGAAAGTCGGACGTTGAGGTTCACAGGTACCACGTCCAACAGGTTCTTACAATCATGCGAAAACATCAATTGTATGCAAACCTCATAAAGTGTATATTTGCAGCAAGCGAAATACCACTTCTTGGGTACATCGTTGGTAAGAACGGTGTACGTCCTGATCCCAAAAAGATCAAGTCGATCACCGACTGGCCTGTGCCGGTTGATGTCAAAGGTCTTCGAAAATCCCTTGGGCTAGCGACGTATTTGCATAAGTATTCACGCAACTATGCCAAGATGACTGTACATCTCTCTCGTCTACTGAAAAAACGAGAGGTGGTTATGGAACGCTGAATGTCAGCGCTCCTTTGATGGTATCAAGCAGAGCTTGATACAATCCCCAGTCCTAGCAATAGCCGATCAGGACAGGCCATTTCATGTGGTCTGTGATGCCAGCGATTTTGCAATCGGCTGTGCATTAATGCAGTACGATCTTGAAGGCGTTGAAAGCGTCGTCTGCTATCAGTCGCGTCAGCTGCAACCAGCTGAGCGGAACAATCCAGTGCATGACAAGGAACTCCTTGCCATGAAGTATGCACTCGCGAAGTTTAGAGTCTATCTATTAGGAGATAGACCCTTCATTGTTTACACTGACCATGCTTCATTACGCACGGCAGTGAACAGCCCACACCTTTCACAACGAATGGCGCGGTGGTTGTCATTCTTTGCAGAATACAACTTTACGGTCGAGTACAAACCAGGACGACTTAATGTCGTCGCTGATGCACTCTCACGTCGTCCCGACTTTGAACCAGTCGTGAAACCCAACAGTGAGACAGTCACTGTTGCGGTTATGACGTCCTCAGTCCCATCTACAACGTTGTATGATGATGTGAGGCGGGCATATGCCCAAGATGGTGAGATAGTGAAGTTGTTGACACATCTCTCACAGCCATCTCGAGAATCGTTGAAGCGATTGTCGCCTGCGCATCAATCTGCATCAGATCGATACACTACTCGCAACGGTTTACTGTATTATACAGCCGTTTCTGGTGACACACCACGTGTTGTCATTCCAGATGATACTGATCTGCGTTTGCGGATCATGTTCGAGTATCACGATGCTCCTATAGGAGGACATCGTGGCCGTGAGAAAACATATCTCACGGTGAGTCGAGACTTTTACTGGCCCCGCCAGTATCAGTTTGTGCGAAAGAATGTTCGCGCATGCGAAGTCTGTCAACGAGTGAAGTCAAGTCCTTCACTGCGTGCACCTTTACAGCCTCTACCAGTTCCGGCAGAGTGCTGGGAATCCATCTCAATGGATTTTGTCTTCGGGTTACCCAAAGACGCACGCGGGAATACGGGTATTCTCGTATTTGTTGACAGATTCAGCAAAATGGTACACCTTGTGGCTGTACCAGAGACAATCACGGCAAGTGGCTGTGCTTGTGTCTTTATTGACACCATCTTCCGACTTCATGGGTTGCCCCGTGAACTCGTATCAGACAGAGATCCACGATTCAGTGCTGATTTCTGGCGTTCCGTGTTCAAATCACTCGGAACGCGCTTGAAGATGTCGACATCTGATCATCCAGAGTCAGATGGTCAGACGGAACGTGCCAATCGTGTCCTTGAAGAGATACTTCGAGGATACGTACACTCCTTTAAGAGTTGGAGTGAGTTTTTGCCAATGGTAGAGTTTGCCATTAACAACTCGGTGCATGCGTCCACGACCCATACACCATTTTACGTGAATGGCTTGCGCCATCCGCGTGTACCCACCTTACTAGACTGTAACTCTGGTTTAAGGGGGGAAGGGACTCGCGCGAGCAAAAAACCGATACGATTCACGCTCATCACGCTCTGACGAAGAGGTCATTGCGTTTGATGCCGATATCGATAACATCGATATCGAAGAAGATGATGCCAGTGAGAGTGCGGAAGCCCTCACTGAAGAATATGATGCCAGTGAGAGTGCGGAAGCCCTCATTGAAGAAGATGATGCCAGTGAGAGTGCGGAAGCCCTCACTGAAAAAAGATTGTTGTTGCTGCAGTGCGCTCACAGCGCATCGAAGCTAACGAGCCAGCAGATGAGTTCATACTGGCTCGTGAAACGGTGGTCCGTTTTGTGCAAGATTCCATCGCCGAAGCGGTGGATAAGCAAAAGCAAAACGCTGACAAGAATGGAAGGGCAAACACTCTTTTATTCAATAAGGGTGACTTATTCCTACTGTCTATGGTTAATCTACCAAAGCATGTAGTGACTAACTTGGGTAGAAGTAAACTACTACCCAAGTACATCGGCCCATTTCGTGTATTGCACCGCCTAGGCAATGCATACACGATCGAGTTGCCACGTAAGATGCGAACGCATCCCACGTTTTACGTCGGTCGGCTTAAGCCGTACCATCAGTACGCTGCTTCTTCCGATAAAGAACGCCCTTGCGCTCAAGCATCTCGCAGAGAGCCTTGTGCTCCCGATGATGGGCATCGACAAGGGTCTGGAGAGCATTTATCTCATCCCGAGACCGATCAACAATCCCACGAGCTACCCTTAGCTCGTCACGAAGAGATGTCAGAGCTCTCTCGTTCTCAAGCTGAGCAAAGGCAAACTCAGCTCGATGCTTCAAGGCAGTGTCCGCCATTTGGAGACGACTGTCCCGCTCATGTTCGAGATCGTTGCGTAACCCTTGCGTTACGCGATCAAAGAAGCTCTCGGGAACACACGGATCCCCACGATCGTGTGGAGAGCGTCTTTCCTCCTCCTCCACCTCCATTAGAGGACTCTCGCGGTGGCCAGCGCTATCTAGTTGAGCAGCTGTTGAACCACCGTGACGTGAACGGACGTCGGACGAGTTATCTCGTCCGGTGGCGCGGTTATACCCCGTCCTGGGATACTGGGAGCCCCGCTCCCAACTGATGGTTGACGTACTGGGTCTGGTTGAGCAGTACGACGCGGCACATCCTGTGCCGCAGAAGGACCGCCGAGGAAAGTCTTCCCGGCACGGTCGTAAAGGGATTTTAGGTTGTCAATCCCTTCGTACATCTCAGTAGAGACACGTACGCGCCACCACGGGCTGGTAAGGAGGTAAGCCTCCTTAGGTGCTCGTGCAGAGTTGTTCACACAACATGGGCACGAGTCTCCCCAAGAGAGGCAGGGTAATCCTTTCTCCCTTGACAAACGATGCAGCTTGTAGCGTGCACCTGCCGGGGTTCGCTTTTCTAACTTATCACGAGCTTTGATAAATTTGTCGTTCCAAGCATCACGACCTACATCCTCAAGGTTATGGATGTAGGCGTTCCACGCTTGAAGTAGTGAGGGACCATCACGTTTGTGATTCCCACTGTACCATCGATGTCTAAAGAAAGCATCGATGAAGAATTCATTCTCAGCGCGATAGTTTTGCACTGGGGTCAAGGTGATGGATCCTTGATGAATCGAATAATCGTGTTCGGTAGCGATCACTTGTCGTCACCGACAAACGATCCATGACGGACTTTGGAGGCAGCCATGCTTTTTTTTCGGGAGCGAGACGCAACACATTGCGGTCCCGCTCTTCCTGCGATGTGTCGACAGAAGTACTGGCACTTTGTTGCGAAGTGGTGTCCATAGGAGAACTGACGCCACTATAAGCGCCCGAGTCTCGCATCCTCGAGCGCCTTCGCTTCGGCGATGATTCATCTGATGAATCAGATTAACCAAAGATGCTGCGACGCATAGCATCGTCCATGCCACGCCTGGCAGGCGGCTTGGATTCGATCGCCGTCGATACGGATCCGTCATCCGTATCAGGAGAGTACGAGACACCGAGCTCGTACTCTGTGAAGACACGAGTGTCTTCATGACCAGCGCCTGCATCACCAAGTGACACAGGCTGGGTCGCTTCAGCAACCGATAAGATATCAGTTGCTGTTGTTTCTGCTTCGGCGTCCGCACAAAGACGTGCAGACGCGCTCTTGGCGGCCTTGCTCGCGCATCGCATGGGCTTGTTAACCATGCGATGAATTGTTGGAAAGTGGACTCGGACCAACAAGTGCAAACCCTGTCCCAAATGATTTGGGACGAGTATCCATCTAGTCAATCAGTCACTAAAGTGACTGATGGTTAAGGGGGGGTGATGTAACGGGGTGAATCGTTACATAACAATTTATAAGAAATTGTTAATAGAATATAACTATAAGAGTTATATTCTCAGAATATTATCATAAGGACAAATATTCTGTAGCACTTACGAGTAGTTCCTAATTGGTTGATATAGGCCATTATATCAACCAACGAAGACGCGCCACGACAGACGCACGCAATGAGTGGTGAGCAGATAACTGATTTACACATTTGTATTTAGACATAGTTAGATGAAGATAAATAGTGATTTATTGCAGACATTAACTATTATAAATACAGTTCTACTTTTTACTTTCAACAAGTACTCGCTTCTTCTTACCGTCTTCCTCTGCTCGTACGAGTGTACGTGAAGTTCCGAGGCATCGCCTTATTCTGTCATCAGAATAAGTAGCTTGTACTGTCACCAGTACAAGCTTCAGGGTGCCCCGTTACATTTTCGACCCCGTAACACAGACTGTCTCAGATGTAGGATCAATCTCTGGGGCCTGCCCTTTAGTTTTAAAGTATGTCAGTTCGGAGAACTGAATCAAGTTGCAATTTATGGAACAATGGCGGTCACTAAAGAAGGAGTATGATGCCGTAATGTCTGTATTTACCGAGTATAGTTGTCCAGTTCAACGTGATTGGCCTTTGCGTATGAGCATTCAACTTTTGCTAATGTAATCATGTTTACCTTTAATCTAATTTGAAGCCCATCTCAAACACCCAAAAGCGCTCTTTGACCTGGTCACTATTGAATAACAATAGTGACATAGCTAAAGAGTGACTTTCGGTATACCTATACCAATGGAGGGCAGGCTGGATCGCACTAAGAACGTGTGAGGTAAACCTAACCGTATTATTCACGCACACACAGACACACACAGATGATAATGGTATGTAAGTTCGTATTTAACCTTGGCACGGTCACTAACAGCTGTATCCTTCGGGCTTGCAACCACTCACAGGTTTGTTATTCTGCTACCTTAAGGCGTCGGTCGTCACGGAGGGGCACTCCCAAAAGAGCCAGTGGAACCATCCTCTGACCAAGCCCGGGATTGGATACGTGTGCACTATACCGGGTGGAGGGATGCTCTTGCGCTCAAACCAATTTATTTTAGGGTGCAGAAGACGCTTGGCTAGGAGTTCTGTTACCACTGCGGTAGTCCCAGTGGCCATCTTGACGTCACCTCGTAATTAGCTTTGTTTCTATTTAGTTCAGCTTGGGCTTACAACGTGCTCAAATGTGCCTAGACGCACCACTGATCGAAGAGTATCTGGCTCAGATCTACTGAACATGAACAATTCCTACTGGATCTAAACGGGTGTAGAGAAGCTACCCTTTCCCTTTTATTATAAAAAGACTTCTAGACTCGTAGAGTCTTTAGCGTATTAAAATGAACGGGTATTGCCTTAAAGGATCCCAAGTCTTACAGGCATGGTGAAACATAAGTCTAAGTGCATGTACAAGTTCTTAAGCTTCTAGTCCTGGTTCAGGCGACTACGACTGCACGGAATCACGTGGCACTAATGTTGAAACAGTTCGACTAATGATGTGACAGGGCGCGACTGTTGATGGGACAGGACGTAAGTGATGGTGAAACGACGCAACCATTGGGATGGGCAAGGTGATTTGAAGTAACCTACGCAGGATAGATTGAAGGTAACGGACATTGAAGGTAACGGAAAGCGTAGGAAACCAAAGACATAAGCTCAAATACATTTAGTTCTCGATTTACTTCCTATCTCTAAGCCCGGTCCAACAGGTTATGAGCCCAAGCGCGAACAACTCACCTCTTCGTCAGCACGCTCAGGCACGCTATGCCGCTGAAACGGATCCAACCACTCTCAACGTGTTCACTGATCCCTTCGTGCTGCGCGAAGAGACGCCATCATCCCCGGGCACTACCGAGGCATAAGATAGCGCGAGTTGTGTCTCTGACGCGAGCTCTGAGCGAATGGATAGACTTGAGGGAGTCCTCGCAGGGATGGCGCACCAGCGAGCCCAGTTCATTATAAAGCAGCTGAAGATGCAAGATCAGATGAGTCGAAACGCTCAAGCTGCGCCTACAACACCCTACGAGCAACCATTCAACGGATCAAGCGCTTTCACCGACTTTATTCAAGCGCGTGACCGTCGAATGAGGACGGGCTCACTCGATGAGCCGATGCATCAAGCACGCATGCCGCCGCCTCACCAGCCGCCGCAACGAAATGCGCGTGCCGCCGGATCAGCCGCATCAGCAAGACGAGCGGTATCGGTCACCTGAACCGTCGCACCCTTTCGTGACACCAAATGATTATGGGTTGAAGCTACCTAAACCCAGAGACCTGGACTGGCATGGATTTTCTAAGTTCACGGGTAAAGAGACATATCCAGGTGTGGGCGCAAACTTTAAAGCATGGGGAATACGCTTCCTACAACGGCTTGGCGCAGCACAGATGATGAGCGGGGGTGATTGGCTAGAAGAGCTCAAGATTCTTGCATTGAGCGGCAAGCTGGAAGGTTCAGCTCTCAGCTACTACGAGAAGATGCTACCAGTATGGTGTGCTGTGTCGAACACACTAGAGCACGTCATGAACAGCATGTTGATGCTGTACATGACTCCGATACCATCTACGAAAGGAATTGATCTCATGACGAGAGAAAAAGAGCACAGCAAGACATGGCCTGAGCATTACCAGTACTTGGTGTACGTGGCGGAGCGATCTGGCAACTCGGAGCAGAGTGTTTTTGAATGTCTATGCAGTCAGCGCCAAGTCAGCGCCTGGACACATTAAGACTGCAATGCTGACAAGTCTGAATGCGCAGAGAACGGACTATCTAGTGCAAGCCGCTGAGCTTGTTGCAGTTGCGATAGACTTTGACATCAGCACGGGGAAGACGAGGGTCGAAGGAGGAAGCAGCCGAGTGGGACGAACAATTCGCGAGCAAGCAGTTCAATGCCCTAACAGTGTTTGAAGAGATCAAGTCGGGCGTGGAGGAAGAAATGTAGCAAGTGTTGCAAGTACCGATACACGTACGTGTTACGGATGCGGTGAGACTGGTCGCATCAAATCCAAGTGCCCCAAGCAACGAAGTGGTGAAATTGCGACTCCAAATCGAGTCGCTTTAGCTGTTGGGACTGGAACAAAAGCTGACTCTGACTCGTGGATATTGGACAGCGGGTCGAGCGTGCACCTTGTAAAAGATGCGAAAATGCTCAAGAATGCAATTGATTGTGATCAATCGTACCGCGCGGCGAACAACACAATGGTTCGAGTGACTAAGAAGGGAACAGCTGAGCTGAAGACGGCTGTCAACGGCAAGGAGGTTATAGTTGACCTAAGCGAGGTTTATTATGCTGAGAACCTCGCTGATAATATCAATAACTAATTTTAATTGGAAGAGCGTGGTGTGTTTCTCGAGTGAGACGGCAATCAGAGCTATGTGGTACGTTAAGAGGATGGTCTGAAGATATTCAAGGTGTTCCACCGCAATAACGTGTCAAAAGTTGACGTAATGGGTGAGAAAACGAAGGAAGCGCGAGTTCAAGTTGTCAACTCATCCTTGCTACTAGGTTACGATGGAATTGATGAAGCTGTATTGAGTACAACTCTTGTGGGGTTGCATCAGAGGCTTGGTCATCTTGGGTACGATACTGTCGAGCGCGTGGCCGACTCTAAAGGATCGGGCATGTACCTAACGGACCAAGCCAGGTTAAATTGTATTACTTGTGCAGAAGGCAAGCAGAGCAAAAACAACCAGTCCAAGAAGGATACAGGCAAGATCGCGTTTATTGACAAGCTTGGTGGTGTGATCGGCAGTGATATCAAGGGACCAATGACACCACTAGATCGACGTGGTAATCGTTACCTAATCAACTTCGTCGACTACTTAACAAATTATGTCCGCGTGCTCCTGGCCAAGAACAAGATTGAGGCGACAAAGAACTTCAAACATTTTCTGCTTTATTTTAAGAAGAGATTTAAGTGTCGAGTTCATGTGCTGCGGACGGACGGTGGCAAGGAGCATGTCAATGTCGACATGTTCTGCAAGTCAGTTGGTGTAAGGCGCCAAGTGAGTGAGGCTTTAAATCAGGCATCGAGCGGAAAGGCTGAAATGATGCACAGGACGGTACTCAACATGGCAAGATGCATGCTATTTGCGAGCGGGCTACCTTTATTCTTTTGGGGGGATGCCGTTGAGTACGCTGACTATGTTTTGAATCGAAGCTCGTGTAGCGCTAACCCCAAGCGCTTATCGCCGCTAGAAATGTTGACTGGAACAATTCCGAACACGGCGGACATTATAACATTTGGAAGCTCTTGCTCAACGTTCAGGGATCCTGGGAAGAAAGCATGGAAGTCACGGTCTCAAGTTGGAATGATTATTGGCAAGAATGATGAAACTAAGGGCTTCAAAGTCTACCTGCCGAAGGAGAAAATTGTGATTGCTACTCAGCATATTCGTAACATCGAAACGCTAAATAGCGCACAGAACGCTCAGCTACAAAAACGGATCGAAAACGAATATTTTATGCTGCGGCGCGCCGAGATGGATCGTGACGAAATTCCGAAACGGAAGGAGCTGCAAATTTAAAGATGAGTGGTTTAAAGGCAGACAAAAATTTGGTGTCAAGTAACAACTCTATCCTGAATGAAAGAGATGGAGGTGAGGTCGAGCAGTTTCCAGAGGATGGACGGACGCAAGCTCGGATGCAGACACGCAACATGGGTACAAAGCACGTGCCGGTCTATATTGTTAAGCTATCACGATTAAAGACCCCCAGAACTATAACGAGGCGATGAAGGAACCTCGAGTCAAGCATTGGAAGGAGGCAATGCGCACAGAGTTTGACGCATTGAAGCAAAAACATACGTAGGAAGTGATACAAAAGCCACGTGAAGCAAAGCTACTTCATAGTAAGTGGGTTTACAAGCTCAAGATGCCCGCTGACGGCACGATCGAAAGATACAAGGCGAGGACGGTGGCGCGAGGAGATGAAAAAAGTTTATGGTATCGATTATACCTACACTTTCTCGGCCGTTATGGAAATGGTTTTTGGCAAAGTGATTCTTGCAGTTTCAAGAATCTGTGGAGCACCTGCGCAACACGGCGATATGCCGAGTGCTTATGTCAAAGCCGAAAAGGAAGATGGCTTGGAGATACTTCTCCATGTTCCGAAATATATGGATATTGAGGCCAAGTTGTTGGACAAGTTCGGAGTGCAGGATAAGGGACATCTTGCACTAAAGCTAAAAAAGGGTCTGTATGGACTTAAACAGTCTGGAAGATTGTGGAACCTGATGCTCCACGACATACTCATGTCCCTGGGTTTCTGTCAGTGCTATAGGGACAGTTGCCTATACATTATAGATGATAGTGACGGCAAAACGCTCGTTGGAATCTACGTGGGTGATGTGCTGGCGACCGCAACCAGTTCTCAGAAGGTCAAAGATTTTTTAATGACATGCAAGTGGTTGATCTTAAGAACCTTGGGGTGGTGTCCGAATTCCTTGGTATTTGTCTCGTTACGATGACGATAATGGGTGGAAACTGAAACAAGAACCTGTTGTTGATGAGATGCTCGAGAGGTTCGGATCAGTCGAGTCGGCAGCGGGCAGGGTGCCAATCGGCGGAGACGACGGAGACGAAGAAGGTGCCCTGCTACCTTCTGATGGGAAAGGTTCGCCGAAAAGACCAACTGTGAAGACTTTCCAGTCGCTAGTCGGTAGTCTGTTATGGATATCTCGATGCACACGCCCCGACATTACGTTTGCAGTGTACCGAGTGACTCGTCGCTCGCACGCACCGAGTGAAGGCGATTGGCGTCTAGCAAGAAGATCGCAAAATGTCTCAAGGGCACTAAGAAACTGGATTTCATGATGAAGGGAGACAAGGACTTGATGAAAGATGACGGCGTGGTAGTCGAGGCATTCAGCGATGCCGACTACGCTGCAGACAAGAGTGACCGGAAGTCGGTTAGCGGTGGTGAGTTCATAGAGGGCGGCATGATTGTAGGCTGGATGTGCAAGAAACAGAAATGTGTTGCATTGTCAACGATGGAAGCCGAGTATGTGGCGGCTTCGCAAACATCGGCTGAGATGATAGGCATCGTGGAATTGCTCAAGGAGATCGGCGTGCAGATGCAGTCATGTACGACTTTACACGTGGATAACCAAGCTGCCATCGCTCAAATAAAGGGCGAAGACACATCTGGGCGAGCGAAGCACATCGACGTGCGATACAAGTTTGTAAAAGATCTTGCAAAAAAGGATTGACTGACCGTGCAGTATTGCGAGTCCAAGAAAATGCGTGCGGACATCCTGACCAAGACCCTTCCAGCACCCCGACTTAGCGAGCTAAGTGGACTGATGATCCACAGTGTTTAAGCATGTCCACACGGGAAGGAGTCTTGAAACAGTGCGACTAATGATGTGACAGGGCGCGACTGTTGATGGGACAGGACGTAAGTGATGGTGAAACGACGCAACCATTGGGATGGGCAAGGTGATTTGAAGTAACCTACGCAGGAGAGATTGAAGGTAACGGACATTGAAGGTAACAGACAGTGAAGGTAACGGACAGCATAGGTAACCGAAGACATAAGCTCAAATACATTTAGTTCTCAATTTACTTCCTATCTCTAAGCCCGCTCCAACAACTAATGTCCAAGAGTACTTAGTGTAACGGGGCACCCTGAAGCTTGTACTGATGACAGTACAAGCTACTTATTCTGATGACAGAATAAGGCGGTGCCTCGGAACTTCACGTACACTCGTACGTGCAGAGGAAGACGGTAAGAAGAAGCGAGTACTTGTTGAAAGTAAAAAGTAGAACTGTATTTATAATAGTTAATGTCTGCAATAAATCACTATTTATCTTCATCTAACTATGTCTAAATACAAATGTGTAAATCAGTTATCTGCTCACTACTCATTGCGTGCGTCTGTCGTGGCGCGTCTTCGTTGGTTGATATAATGGCCTATATCAACCAATTAGGAACTACTTGTAAGTGCTACAGAATATTTGTCCTTATGACAATATTCTGAGAATATAACTCTTATAGTTATATTCTATTAACAATTTCTTATAAATTGTTATGTAACGATTCACCCCGTTACATCACCCCCCCCTTAACCATCAGTCACTTTAGTGACTGATTGACTAGATGGATACTCGTCCCAAATCATTTGGGACAGGGTTTGCACTTGTTGGTCCGAGTCCACTTTCCAACATTTCATCGCATGGTTAACAAGCCCATGCGATGCGCGAGCAAGGCCGCCGAGAGCGCGTCCGCACGTCTCTGTGCGGACGCCGAAGCAGAAACCACAGCAACTGATGTCTCATCGGTTGCTGAAGCGACTCAGCCTGTGTCACTTGGTGATACAGGCGCTGGTCATGAAGACACTCGTGTCTTCACAGAGTACGAGCTCGGTGTCTCGTACTCTCCTGATACGGATGACGGATCCGTATCGACGGCGATCGAATCAAAGCCGCCTGCCAGGCGTGGCATGGACGATGCTATGCGTCGCAGCATCTTTGGTTAATCTGATTCATCAGATGAATCATCGCCGAAGCGAAGGCGCTCGAGGATGCGAGACTCGGGCGCTTATAGTGGCGTCAGTTCTCCTATGGACACCACTTCGCAACAAAGTGCCAGTACTTCTGTCGACACATCGCAGGAAGAGCGGGACCGCAATGTGTTGCGTCTCGCTCCCGAAAAAAAAGCATGGCTGCCTCCAAAGTCCGTCATGGATCGTTTGTCGGCGACGACGAGTGATCATTATCGAACACGGTTGTTCGATTCGTCAAGGATCCATCACCTTGACCCCAGCGCGAAAGACTATCGCGCTGAGAATGAATTCTTCATCGATGCTTTCTTCAAACATCGATGGTACGGTGGGAATCACAAACGTGATGGTCCCTCACTGCTTCAAGCGTGGAACGCCTACATCCATAACCTTGAGGATGTAGGTCGTGATGCTTGGAACGACAAATTTATCAAAGCTCGTGATAAGTTAGAAAAGCGAACCCCGGCAGGTGCACGCTACAAGCTGCATCGTTTGTCAAGGGAGAAAGGATTACCCTGCCTCTCTTGGGGAGACTCGTGCCCATGTTGTGTGAACAACTCTGCACGAGCACCTAAGGAGGCTTACCTCCTTACTAGCCCATGGTGGCGCGTACGTATCTCTACTGAGATGTACGAAGGGATTGACAACCTGAAATCCCTTTACGACCGTGCCGGGAAGACTTTCTCCGGCGGTCCTTCTGCGGCACAGGATGTGCCGCGTCGTACTGCTCAACCAGACCCAGTACGTCAACCATCAGTTGGGAGCGGGGCTCCCAAGTATCCCAGGACGGGGGATAGCCGCGCCATCGGACGAGATAACTCGTCCGACGTCCGTTCACGTCGCGGTGGTTCAATAGCTGCTCAACTAGATAGCGCTGGCCACCGCGAGAGTCCTCTAATGGAGGTGGAGGAGGAGGAAAGACGCTCTCCACACGATCGTGGGGATCCGTGTGTTCCCGAGAGCTTCTTTGATCGCGTAACGCAAGGGTTACGCAACGATCTCGAACATGAGCGGGACAGTCGTCTCCAAATGGCGGACACTGCCTCGAAGCATCGAGCTGAGTTTGCCTTTGCTCAGCTTGAGAACGAGAGAGCTCTGACATCTCTTCGTGACGAGCTAAGGGTAGCTCGTGGGATTGTTGATCGGTCTCGGGATGAGATAGCTGCTCTTCAGACCCTTGTTGATGCCCACCATCGGGAGCACAAGGCTCTCTGCGAGATGCTTGAGCGCAAGGGCGTTCTTCATCGGAAGAAGCAGCGTACTGGTGGTACGGCTTAAGCCGACCAACGTAAAACGTGGGATGCGTTCGCATCTTACGTGGCAACTCGATCGTGTATGCATTGCCTAGGCGGTGCAATACACGAAATGGGCCAATGTACTTGGGTAGTAGTTTACTGCTACCCAAGTTAGTCACTACATGCTTTGGTAGATTAACCGTAGACAGTAGGACTAAGTCACCCTTATTGAATAAAAGAGTGTTTGCCCTTCCATTCTTGTCAGCGTTTTGCTTTTGCTTATCCACCGCTTCGGCGATGGAATCTTGCACAAAACGGACCACCGTTTCACGAGCCAGTATGAACTCATCTGCTGGCTCGTTAGCTTCGATGCGCTGTGAGCGCACTGCAGCAACAACAATCTTTTCTTCAGTGAGGGCTTCCGCACTCTCACTGGCATCATCTTCTTCAATGAGGGCTTCCGCACTCTCACTGGCATCATATTCTTCAGTGAGGGCTTCCGCACTCTCACTGGCATCATCTTCTTCGATATCGATGTTATCGATATCGGCATCAAACGCAATGACCTCTTCGTCAGAGCGTGATGAGCGTGAATCGTATCGGTTTTTTGCTCGCGCGAGTCCCTTCTCCCCTTAAACCAGAGTTACAGTCTAGTAAGGTGGGTACACGCGGATGGCGCAAGCCATTCACGTAAAACGGTGTATGTGTCGTGGACGCATGCACCGAGTTGTTAATGGCAAACTCTACCATTGGCAAAAACTCACTCCAACTCTTAAAGGAGTGTACGTATCCTCGAAGTATCTCTTCGAGGACACGATTGGCACGTTCCGTCTGACCATCTGAATCTGGATGATCAGATGTCGACATCTTCAAGCGCGTTCCGAGTGATTTGAACACGGAACGCCAGAAATCAGCACTGAATCGTGGATCTCTGTCTGATACGAGTTCACGGGGAAACCCATGAAGTCGGAAGATGGTGTCGATAAAGACACAAGCACAGCCACTTGCCGTGATTGTCTCTGGTACAGCCACAAGGTGTACCATTCTGCTGAATCTGTCAACAAATACGAGAATACCCGTATTCCCGCGTGCGTCTTTGGGTAACCCGAAGACAAAATCCATTGAGATGGATTCCCAGCACTCTGCCGGAACTGGTAGAGGCTGTAAAGGTGCACGCAGTGAAGGACTTGACTTCACTCGTTGACAGACTTCGCATGCGCGAACATTCTTTCGCACAAACTGATACTGGCGGGGCCAGTAAAAGTCTCGACTCACCGTGAGATATGTTTTCTCACGGCCACGATGTCCTCCTATAGGAGCATCGTGATACTCGAACATGATCCGCAAACGCAGATCAGTATCATCTGGAATGACAACACGTGGTGTGTCACCAGAAACGGCTGTATAATACAGTAAACCGTTGCGAGTAGTGTATCGATCTGATGCAGATCGATGCGCAGGCGACAATCGCTTCAACGATTCTCGAGATGGCTGTGAGAGATGCGTCAACAACTTCACTATCTCACCATCTTGGGCATATGCCCGCCTCACATCATCATACAACGTTGTAGATGGGACTGAGGACGTCATAACCGCAACAGTGACTGTCTCACTGTTGGGTTTCACGACTGGTTCAAAGTCGGGACGACGTGAGAGTGCATCAGCGACGACATTAAGTCGTCCTGGTTTGTACTCAACCGTAAAGTTGTATTCTGCAAAGAATGACAACCACCGCGCCATTCGTTGTGAAAGGTGCGGGCTGTTTACTGCCGTGCGTAATGAAGCATGGTCAGTGTAAACAATGAAGGGTCTATCTCCTAATAGATAGACTCTAAACTTGGCGAGTGCGTACTTCATGGCAAGGAGTTCCTTGTCATGCACTGGATAGTTCCGCTCAGCTGGTTGCAGCTGACGCGACTGATAGCAGACGACACGTTCAACGCCTTCAAGATCGTACTGCATTAATGCACAGCCGATTGCAAAATCGCTGGCATCACAGACCACATGAAATGGCCTGTCCTGATCGGCAATCGCTAGGACTGGGGATCGTATCAAGCTCTTCTTGATACCCTCAAAGGAGCGCTGACATTCAGCGTTCCATAACCACCTCTCGTTCTTTTTCAACAAACGAGAGAGGTGCACAGTCATCTCGGCGTAATTGCGTGAATACTTATGCAAATACGCCGCTAGCCCAAGGAATTTCAAAGACGTTTGACATCAACTGGCACAGGCCAGTCTATGATCGCCTTGATCTTTTCGGGATCAGGACGTACACCGTTCTTACCAACGATGCACCCAAGAAGTGGTATTTCGCTTGCTGCAAATATACACTTCTTGAGGTTAGCATACAATTGATGCTTTCGCATGATTGTAAGAACCTGTCGGACGTGGTACCTGTGAACCTCAACGTCCGACTTTCCATCCATAGCTCGACTATGGATGAATACGTCATCGAAATAACTCGGCGCGAAT